CTGTCTGCTTCATCTGTCTGCTTCATCTGTCTCTCTGTCTGCTTCATCTGTCTGCTTCATCTGTCTCTCTGTCTGCTTCATCTGTCTGCTTCATCTGTCTCTCTGTCTGCTTCATATGTCTCTCAGTCTGCTTCATCTGTCTGCTTCCTCCGTCGAGTGGGTGTTGTGTTGTTTGTTTGGTTTCCCCTGCCTTGATGATGAGAGAAGTTGACCCTGAGCGATTCCTCGAACGTTCTTGTAGCTGCAGCCGTTGTGCTGTAGGGCTCGTCTTGGCACCGTGGAATAAGATCGTTTGGATCAGGTTGAGAAAGCAATCAGGTGCCAGGTATGTCTTTAGATTTTACCTATAAAGTTTTGATATATACATGTATATATTATATACATGTATTCAATCAGCTAGATCTATTGGAATTTCCTTTCAGAGAGTATTTTTGCTTACATAAAGTCACGAGATGTTTCCGAGATGGTATGTTGCTGCCTGTGAAATACATGATGAATGTTTAGTTGCCACTGTCGGCTGTGGGAACCCTGAGCTGTTCTCTCACATTGTCCTCCTTTTCCAATTCAATGTATATTCTGCAGCAATTCATGTCTAATGTCAACAGTGAAGCGCCGTAAGGCTACGCGTCCACCAAAATAGAGATCACCTCCAGGCCAGGTTAATGTACGAAGTTCTTGCGTGGTGTACAACACAGGCTAATGTACAAACTCTTGCGTGGTGTAGAACACAGGCTAAGGTACGAAGTTCTTTCGTGGTGTAGAATCGACTCAAAAAGATCCGCGTCCACCAACGTGAGACCCTCTGGTCAGACCGGCTAAACCTATTTGTCCAGTGTGTTATGATTACTTGAACAACAGACATCACCACAGGCGATTTATCTATTTATGTACCTGTTTAAAAAACTAAAAAGCAACAAATTATAATAATGGGGACAATTGTTGGTAAGTTGGGACGATGAGAAGAAGAAATAACAACAACAACAACAACAAAAAGCTGGGACTGGGATTCGAACCCACGCTCACAAAATAATATTTTGCGTTTCAAACGCAGACACGCTGTTCACTCGGCCATCAGAACTTTCAACAGCGATGGGTAGATTAAGCTTTATATTTACAATTTACAGCACTGTTTCAGGAAAGGCAAAACGACATATATCGAGATGTAGATCTAGGCCTAGATCTATTATTTTGACAACGAAGACGGTGAAAATGTCGGAAACACGGGAAGGGGGTGTGTCAATGAGGCGGCAGGTATTGGATGGGCAGATAAGGTCTGGAGAAAACAAAAAATTAGCGAAAAATTGGAAGCACAAAACAGAGAACGTAGATCTAGACACGTCCTTGGCCTATTTTTAACCTAGCCTATTTTTAGCTCTCCCGAGAGCGAAATAATCTAGATTTAGGTCAAGTGCTTTAATTTCATTTTTTGGGGCTGTTTTTCAGCACAAATCTGCTATTGTACAACATATTATAATGAGATACAACTTTGTTGATCATGTAAAATGCGACGAAGAAGCAAAAATGTTCTTGAAGATGCAAATTCCCTTCCAAAATGAGTCGAATCGAGGCTTTCTTAGTCCCCTGTACGACTGACGAAAAAGCGTGCATGCAGGAAAATGGCGTAGTCAGGCAAAGGCAGTCAGTGACTGACAAAAACAAGCTCATTTGCATGTGAACTTGGCCTGCAAGTGCAAGTGACGAAAAAGCGCAGTGGACGCGGGGCCTTAGAAAGCCGTAACAAAAGCAACAGAAACAAAAGACAATAAACAAAACAACTGGAACGAAAAAGAGCTGTGTTTTTTTCCTGGG